AGAAGACGTGATATGAAGTAGAACCTGTATTCTAGAAGCATCCAGAAAGTACGAGGTCCGAGTCTAGAAGAGAATCAGTATCCCGGACTAGGGATCCGGGACCGATTCCTGGTCGTCGTCTTAAAACGTTACAAATAATGCGTATTTAATTGACAGTTAAGACGACCAATAGGAAGTAACAACATTTGAAGTGACATCGATGGATAGTCAGGGCAACCAATAAGAAACAACATTGAAGTACGTGACATTGATATCTACTAGGACGACCATAAAATTGACCAGTAGGAATAGAACTTGACCAATAGGGATCGACCAATAATTCTATTAGGATATTGGATGAATATCCTAACAATCACATCACCAATGGATTCAGTCGCTTGTAATTTTTTCTTGTCAGTAGTTGTTAATGCAATAAACAAATTAGAAATTAATTTCTATTTCAAAATAAATCGTTTCAAGGAATTCATTTTCAAAGTTCTACCATATACACATGTATCTATGATTATCAGTTAATTTTGCCTGTTAGCCTTCGTGAAGCATAGGCCATTGATTAGGATGCTCTAATCAACTTGGTGCCCCGGTCTCTCATTTAGTTGTTCACAAGCACTACACAATGTTATGTGTCTCCAATTGGTTGCTCAATCTAACCTGTTTATCAATCAATAAATATATGTTACTGCATGATTTCAGCAAACATATGATCATCAGTAAGAGAGTTCGAAAGATTACTGAATAGTATTAAGATCATTAAACAGTTAGACAATTATCACAGTCTGTTATTGGAAGTTAGATATGTACATTTCGAGATTCCAGCTTATTTATTAACAATTTAAGCAATCGTGCAAGAGTCAGAAGGTCCTAAGTTGGATCTATGGTGGCATGATCTTAGACATGCATTACTGAAGAGATTAATACGTTCACATAACAACAGTTCAATGAATCCGGAACTTCCTATAATTGGCCAATTTCAATTCATAATCAATTCATAATGTGAAGAGGACAACTAGTTCTTGGAGAAAACAAACTTGTGAAATATAAGATATACATTGTCATTTCAATAGTTATGTGGTGTGTGCTACTTATACGAACTATATGAGTAGTATAAGAAGGGACGTGAAAGAAGAACTCTCACGGTCACTAGAGGAAAACGGAAAGCAAATGGAGCAAAAGCAAGAAGTAAATGGAGTACCAACAGGAAGGGAAGGAAGCAACAGCAGGAATGGAAGAAGCCTGGAGCGTCGGAAGTCAGGACTCAAAGATGGTGTGCAAATAGAGTGTTCAATGTAATGTTTTCGTTTTGTTGGGCAATTCCTCTTCCAATGACCGGTTCCTCCGCAAATATAGCATTTATTATTTCTACCACCCTTTATTCGTAACACTGCCACCTCTCGTTGTAATTCTTCTATCTTCTTCGCGACATCATCAGCCTGTCTTTCACACGCCACCGAGGCGGCTGTTATGTTCATCAGTTGTCTTGTTACATTAGCCGGCTCGGTGACGTCCATTGGTTGTAACGCGTTCAGCAGTCTCAACTGTTGGGCAACCTCTGCAGGCACACTTTCAATGGATTGCGACGCTAGCAGCTGTGCTTGCGACTCCTCAGCCTAATTCGGCAGACCCCGGCGCAGCAATCTTGTCAACTCCACGGTCAGCACGAGTGGGTCGCCATCCACAGTCAGTCTCGCCTCTCGGAACTTCTGCAATGCGTCCTGCCTATCCGCCGGGCTGTCGAACTCCACCAGCAGCCTTGCCGTCACCACCTCCCAGTCAGCGTCCTTCACACCATCGTACACCGCTTACGCCCTGCCTTTTAGTAGAGTCCCCAGCACCACAGCCTTCGCCCTCTGCTCCTTGACTCCGACCAGCTCCGCCATGGCCTCGAACTCCTTCAAGAAGCACCTTACACCTCCGTCTTCAAACTCTCGAGGCCATGGTATCCTCATCCTGTCTAGAGGTAGCGACACTGATTGAGAAGACTGAAGCAGGCGAGGAAGATTGTAATACGCAATTTCACACTCTTAGTCAATTAAAAACGAAAACATTACATTGAACACTCTATTTGCACACCATCTTTGAGTCCTGACTTCCGACGCTCCAGGCTTCTTCCATTCCTGTTGTTGCTTCCTTTACTTCCTGTTGGTACTCCATTTACTTCTTGCTTTTGCTCCATTTGCTTTCCGTTTTCCTTTTCTGACCGTGAGACTTCTTCTTTCACGTCCCTTCTTATACTACTTATATAGTTCGTATAAGTAGCACACACCACAGTTACAGTCATACTTCTTAATGTTTTATTGATTATGAATTGTTCAAATTTTGAAAAATGTCCTCTTTCAATAAAATTATTTGTTGATTTAAAATGATATCAATCAGTCAAATTCGAACAGACATACCGATTGACAATTGATCAGAATGTTATAAATTCACATTTTCATTTGTTAGGTTCTCATAAATTTATATTTACCGATTATGAATACTTAGTTATGATTAACGTACAACCTAATGAATTGCGTCACTGGAAATGGACAAGTTGAACATTTAAGAATTCAAGGTCACAAATAGTAGTTGAAACACACAGTTCAATTTAAAAGGAACACAATACACGCAATTTTTCCCCGTTTTTCAATTTGACTAAAGAATTCATCTCAGTTTATGGATCCTAATCTCAACTGTTTACAATCTAAAATCACAGTACTAATCACTGAAAACCGTCATTAGAAATCTGGGTGTACTAGATGGCTGTTTTATCTTTGTATGAGACTATTCAGCAGTGCACATCCAAGATATTAACAACTGTCAGATACCAGCTCAGTGATGTGAAGGTTAAGTGTTGGCGTGCAAGACAGAAAAGGTCTTAGGTTCAGTTCCCGTGGGCGATAGTTGTGGATACACACTGGTGAAGAGTTACAAAATAGAATGAAACAGTCCTCCAAATTTTGCACATTTATAATGCTAGTCTAAAACTGATTGATTTACGATTTCAGTGACAGACAACGATCTTTGAATTAAAATATGGAAATAGTACGGTAGAATTGAGAATGTTCAAGAGTCTGCTCATTTAACAGTTAAATATGTTTGAATATTCTAGAAGAGCATGGAGAAAAAGCCATTTTTCAATGACAACTTAGATTACGTCATAAAAAAATAGTCAAGGAAAGCTCAGAATTGTGAGTAAATTTCATAGTAGCTAGAAGCAGAAGCAGTCTTACATAACTAACTCAATTTAGATCGATCAATCATCAATGCGCAACAATTTTAAATTCTTTTGTCTACTGATTATTTTGAAAGATTTAACGATTTCACTGTCATAACCACTGTCGAGAAGGTGATGAGCGATTGTGCTGTTGAAAATCTTATGTCTTCTATAGTTTCAGCTTGTTTGTGATATTTTTGAAGATGCGAACAAGTACTCTTCTTCCAATCTGTATGCTTTAGCACTCTGAATAGCATTCTAATCAAATGGTCTTTGAAGATTATTGGGCAGAAGCTGTGGAACTTCAAGTGTTGCCTAATTTACGTGTTCCTACGATAAATATCTCTTTCTAACCGGCCACTTGAATTCCGTCTAATGTCAACATCTCATGTTCGTATTCTATCGTCAATTGAATATTAGGGTTTGTGCTCTGTTGAAAAGTTTCCATGGACAAAATCATGTTGGGAATTATCACACGCAACAAATTCATAAATTTATCGGCACATTTCACTAGAGTCATGGTTTTTTTTTCTCAAAATGGATAGAGAATATAGAATGATAGATTAGTTTGTAGTTTTCAATGTTCAATACATATTTGAGGTATACGATAGATCATCACCCGGAAAAAATCTACACTTATCTACAATATGACCACTATCAACCAGGTGTGCTAAGATAGAACTGCGTATTGTTTTTATTTGGCCCTTTTTAAACTAAGCTGGGAGATGTTCACTCATTTGTTGGTTAATTTGCCTGGTAGTACACTCGATATAGCTATCTCCACAGGAGCAGCTGAATTCAACGGAGATGTGGCCTGCGATACTCTGCAGGACAGATTAATGAGAATAATAAGTAGAACATTCAACGCAGTTAAACTTGCGTTGACCTTCTTAAGTCGGCCAGTGATGTCTACCCCAAACGAAGGATAAGTTACCTGAGTTGGCCTCCTTTATGTGCAGTTACAATGTGACAATGAAAGTCAGGGCAACCAATCGTAATTAATCAATGGGATATTGGATGAATATCCCAACAGTAAAATCCTCCAATACTCAAACATTATAAACCAACCTAATCATAATAGACTGAGAAACTTTGGAAGATGTGAAAATCTTTACATACTTAGTCAGTAACAGTGATAGACAAGGTGGATCTGATGTAAATGAAAGAACATCTTGAACCTCAAAACAACAATGAACCAACACCAAAGTTAACGAACCACGTAAGCCATCATTCACAAGATGCACATGTTTACTTTCAGCTGTGTATGTGAAATACTTCACATCCGTTGGCTAGACATCATCAACAACAAACTACCGTGGAAGAGAAGAAATCAGCCTCCAGCTGGAGAATATATTTGGGACACGTACTGGATGTGGGTGCGACACACATTCAGGACATAACCCAACTACATCACAAGACAGACCCTAACTTGAAATGATCAATGTGAAAAAAAATGAGGCATATCAAAGAGCATATTACTCCATAAAAATGAAGACAGACATGAGAAGAATGAACAACAGTCAAGTAGATATCATTAAATACATGAACTATTCATCACATAACACAATCAGTTGTGCTTCAACGCATTTATAAACAATCGAAATTCCTGATCGCTTCATTGAACAAACAAACCTAGCAAGCAGACAGCAAAAAAAAATTGTTTTATTGATATTAGTAGTCTGTCTGTTGAATTATTTTAAGAGTTATTTTTCAATGTTTATTCGAGCGAGACATAATATATCATATTCTATCTAGTAAACAAAACGAACATTTATAGTGAGTGATTCTACATACGTATATATATACAAACATATACATATATATATATCGTACATCAATTCGAAATTCTCCACACACAGTCTAAACTTGACTGAAATTATGTTACGCAACAAATTCTTATTTGTCGCACTTCAACTATTCATTCAATTATTATTCAATTTGATTTATTATGTTCAATGTAAGTTTATATTTTTATATTGATATTCATTGTCAAACTAACTGATCTTGTGGTGTGAGCTACTTATAAGTAGTATATGACGTGAGTGTCAACGTAATGTCTTGTCTGGCAGCAGGAGATGAGGGAAGATCAAGAGAAAGGAAGAGTTAGAAGAACACAATGGAATTTGTACGAAACGCATGAATAATGAGTGACAATGGATTGATGTTGTTTGCAACAGCAACAGTCCTCCAGTTTCATATGATGGACTGATATTTTGCAAATTAACGATTTACGATATGGTTTTCCAATTTTACTGAGTAACTCTGTAATTTTCGCTAAGCACAATCGGGTTGCCCCACCTGTTTTCTCGTTCACTACAGTCTTAGAGTAATAATTATGTCAAAGGTGAACCACAAATAATACTAGAGATATGCATTTTATGTGTGTGTACAATATCTTGTAATTTTAGAACAATAATGAGTAGTACTTCATGTGAGAGCGTAATTTTCACTACATTTGTGTTTGATCAACTAACATGTTAGGATCGACTACAGTGGCAGCATATGTACAGATTTTCAATAGAAATAATTATGCTCTCCTATACTAGAATATACCTATTAATCGAATGGAAAATTACTTGAAATGGCTAGATATTACTGCTTTGATAAAATATTGAAAAGTACATAAAACATAGGCCGCAAACCAGTATTCTCCAACCTACTCCGCCTCAGGTCTTCTTTTCTAGTTCAATTCAACTGTTGTTCATTGTTCTCATGTCTGTCTCTATTTCTTGGCATAATGAAAACAGCATCACACAACAATCTATATATGTAGATATATATAAATAACAGTTTCATTCTAAATTTAAAGGTGGCGGTGAAGAAGAGACAAGTATGTTCATTATATATATATACATATTTATCAAAATATTTATTGAAATTTATCATATATTCTGTGTTAATTCTGGCGGTCTTTTTGAATATCTGGGCTACCTGTTTTTCTGATATCAATATTATATATTTCAACAAGTTATCTCTGTTTGTTTGTTTTTTGTTTTAACGCATCAATCATGCCTATCAGTTGCATAAATTATTTTGGCGCGTATTTTAAACCTTGATAAATTATGTCGTTTTACAAAGTACAATAAATTATATTTCGTAGCTTTTGAGGAAAAATGAATCAATGTGTTTTTTTCCGAGTCATCAATCACACATCTTTCGATTGCGTCAATTATTCACTATGATTATGATTATTTAGTCATTCTTCATTAAATGAAGCTGGCTCACTCACCTTCTCCACTTCACTTCGCCTGACTTTAACGATTCAGTTTATCGTTTGTCTGCTTACACGAATCTATGAAATAAGTTCATTCAAAACAAATTGTATATGGTTTGTTATATTGCTGTCATTGTACAAACAGGCTACACCTAAGAATGGTTGATATGCGAAAATTAAAGGAAATCTTTATTTCATAGCATATTTAAATGTTATTAAATAATGATGAAGTCGAACTGAAAAGACTGAGGCAGGCGCGGAAGATCACATAATGCAAATTTACACTCAGTCAATTAAAAACGAAAACATTACATTGAACACTCTTTTTGCACACCATCTTTGAGCCGTGACTTCCAACACTTCATCGTTCTTCCATTCCTGTTGTTGCTTCCTTTCCTTCCTGTTGGTACTCCATTTACTTCTTGCTTTTGCTCCATTTACTTTCTGGTTTCCTCTTCTGACCATGAGAATTCTTCTTTCACGTCCCTTCTTATACTACTTATATCGTTCGTATAAGTAGCACACACCACAGAGCCATCAAGAATCAACAGTCCCTTCATTTCATCTATATGTAACATGATTATACAAGTATTTCTATTTGAAATCATAAATCGATCAATATTATTCCACCATTAAAAACCCGAAAAGAATGGATGGCCTTTTTGTTCTTGGTATGTGACTCATCAATGGCAGTACTCATCCACAACTCCATGTCATTCACAAGATTTGAACCTTGTACCGTCAGTCCTACGCGTGAATGCTTAACCTCTAAGCCACTGCAAACAAAACTTGTGTATATAATGATTTTATTTGTTTATTGAGTAAGAATGGGATTTCAACTACATTTCACGATAATAAGTAACATCTGAAGACAATGTAACTGTACACACACATTAACCAAACAGCTGCTTTTATCCTCGACAAATCTAAGAAGATTGGGAATTCAGTTCATAGTTTGAATTTTAAAAAAATTTACATTATATATGATATTTAAGAGCTTTGTTAAATGATACTACTGAAATTCCTAATTAAGTAGTGTTTAGCTACGTAAACATTTCATTATCATTCCATCTTTATTTGTATTTTAGCTACTACCACAGAAGGTATGGTTTAGTGAATAACTTTTTAAAACTAGTCAACAAATAAGTGTATTAATTTTTATTATGCTCGTCAATTGATATGCTTGAATGCTATTACGAGTTCACTTTAGTCGGTAAACGAGAGCGCAGACAAATAATCCAGTCACATGATAGGCTACTCTAATCAGAGCGTCCAAACACCCCACTAAGTAGAGAAAGAAGTCTTGTGATAAAGCGTAGAGAGTGTATTCTACAAGCACACAAATCGAGTTTATTCATACATCATAGAAATGTATTTGAGAGAGCCACAAAAATAGCCCACTAAAATACTACATCAACCCCGGATGGGAAATGTAATCTCAAGGTCAACTACTCAGCCCAGGCGTGAAAACACAAAATCCAAAACTAGGACATTCATCAAATGAGTTCTGGGGATCTAATGTCCCAAACAGCATCAACGTAGACTGCATGGATACGATCAAATATGTTGCATTTTGATTTCTAATGTTTGAAATCAAATTAATTACCCCCATATTGATTATGTTATTCGCCAGAACAAGTATGACAACTTTTATGTTTGTACAAAAACTTTGTTTAGATTTGTACAAAGAAAACAGAGGATCGATTTTCAATTATTTCAAAGTAATACTGATCACTTTAACGTACAATGTCAGTTGAAATAGTACTCTGAGAAGTAATAGTCAATTTGTCAAAGTACGCAATTCTTTGTCAGTTATATACTCAATAACAGTAAACGTCGAACTCTTGTTTAAAGATACTAGTCACATTATATATCTTTCTAAATTCTTTACAAAATTCATTACGTATATTACTTACTTATTTACTTACTTACTTACTCACTTATCTACTTACTTACTTACTTACTTACTTACTTACTTACTTACTTACTTACTTACTTACTTACTTACTGACTACTTAGGGCCTGTTACCCCTAATGGAGTATAAACCGACGACTACACAACACTGTACTTTGCCTTTCTTTTCAGTTCTACCCAACTCTTATTCATTCTTCCCATGTCTGCTTCTAACTCTCGGAACAGTGTGTTCCTTAGTCGATCTCCTACCCTCTGACCTTGAGGATTTCATGTTACGGCTTGCCTTATAATGCAACTTGGTGGTTCCTGCAATATATATCCAATCCACCTCTGGCGTTTTTCTCTAACTTCCTTCTCAAATGGAATCTGGTTTTCTTTCTCCCAGAGTAGTTTGTTATTGATGGTGACTGGCATATATACATAGGAAAGTGCTGAAAATGTATATAACAATTTTAATTCTAATCAAACTATTCACTTTTTTGTTATTCTACAGCCACAACTGAAGGAGGTTAGTAATAAAGTGCATTTCTATTCGTCACAGATTTTTAACAGCACCTGAAAACTTGAGAGGAAATTGTATAGATTCAATGATCATAGTTCAGTAGACTATTATACTTACTTACTTAGGCCTGTCATCCGCAATGGAGCATAGGCCGCCCACCAGTTTTCTCCAACCAACTCCGTCTTGAGCTTCCCTTTCCAGTTTTCGTTCATTCTTCTCATGTCTTTCTCTATTTCTCGGCGTAATGTGTTCCTTGGCCTTCCTCTTTTCCTTTGACCTTGAGGGTTCAAAGTGAGGGCTTGTCTTGTGACGCAGTTCGGTGCTTTTCGTAATGTGTGTCCTATCCACTTCCACCGCTTCTTCCTGGTTTCTTTCACGTCCATCGGAATCTGGTTTGTTCTCTCCCACAGTTCGTTGTTGCTGATGGTGTCTGGCCAACGAGTCCAAAGTATTTTGCGTAGACAACTGTTCATAAATACTTGTATCTTCTGGATGATGGCATTCGTAGTTCTCCGAGTTTCCGCTCCATACAGTAGAACTGTCTTGACATTTGTATTGAAAATCCTGATTTTGGTGTTGATTGATATTTGTTTGGAGTTCCAGATACGTTTCAATTGTAGAAATGCAGCCCTTGCTTTGCCAATCCGCGCCAGTTTATATCTTTTCATTTCTGCAGCAGCTTAAAATAGTCTTCCAGTCTCTCTTTAATGTTCGAACGTTCCATGTGTACCTAAAAGAATGCTTGCTCTGGTTTTCAGAAGAGGCATCGGCTTAGTGACTATTAGAGCTTATGGAAAATTTAATCTGTGCATTGAAAAATGCATTTTTTATAGCTAGCTTGATGTTGTTATTTATACTGTAACATTCACTTTGAATGCGGTGAAAAATCAATAGTTAACCTCAGTCAGACTATCACTGAAAGCGGCAAAGCACAGGGCAGATGTTTCATCCTGGTGCAAGACTGCGCATTAATGTCCACCCAAAAACACCTGACTAGGAATCGAACGCTGAATATTCAGTCTCAAAAATGAACACCCAACCTTCAGAACAATGATCCAACATCACATAATATACATGTCTAACTTCACTCAATTCAATTCCCCGTTCCTAATGGAAATCTAGCTAAAGCTTACGTTTTTACGCCTGTAGCGCGAAATGGAGCGTGGACCTCCGACCAACAACCTATTTTTTCTCAATAGCGTTATTTCATCGAGTTGGTTTTCTACGGAACTGGGGGTCGCTAACCACACACATACACACACACACAACCCTCCTGCTTAACCTGAACTTGGGACTATCAGTAACCCTGGAAGAGCTCCAGGTCGGGGTTAGATCTAGCTAAATGATGTAAAATCGTACAATCTCTATGAAACACTTTAAAGTAATAAATTTTTTTATTGATTATTGTCCAATAGCTGTGCGAGGTAAGTTAATATGCTTTTAAAAATCATTCTTCTTACATCATACGACGATTTGAAGTCATTTAGTTCACATAAATAATACTCATACAAGATGAACTGACCGATAAACTAACCTAATTCGATTGATCAGTTCTGTATTCGTTCACACATCAGGTATTGTTTAATGTACACATTTTTGAAACCATGAACCGATCAATGTTAGACAGAGCACCATTAGAAACCTGGAAGCACTGAAAGACGGCCGTTTCGTCCTGGTATAGGACTCATCAGTGGCAGTGCGCGTCCACGACTCCTGCATCCCATAGGATTCGAACCCCAGGACCTTCGGTATTGTGCGCGAACGCTTGACCGTCGGACCACTGAGCCGGTATCTAACTATGTTAATGTCAAACTTGATCAATTCACGGGGTTGCGCAACCTCATACACAGTCTTCGGTAGTAGTTACTGTCTACACCCGAACAGGTTGGACTTTACTGTTCACGTCTTCACACTAGAACTCGGAGAATATTCTCCTCATGAAGCTAGTCACTAGTGAGCGCATGTAATTTGCATTATGGGGTAGGGTAAAATAAATATTTTTTATTTCCCATGGTCAATGATTTGAAATTTCGTTCGATCAGTACATTTTATTTTGAAAAAATTAAATCAAACAAATACAACAATAATCATGTTTAACAGTTTATGCTTACCGGTTACATAGATCGAAATGAATAAGTTGAATTATATGGATCTTCTTCAAAAAAAAAATTGCGAATCGATTGAGTTGCAAACATTAGATTTAAATGAACTGTTTACTTGAATAAACTAAAATCGATTCTTTGAGGGAAATATATGAATCGTTTTAAGATGAAAAGTTGAGATTAGTTGTAGTAAAAGTAGTGGTAGTAGTAGTGTGAGTATTAGTACTAGTAGTAGTAGTAGTAGTAGTAGTAGTAGTAGTAGTAGTAGTAGTACTAGTGAGAAGACTGAGGCAGGCGCAGAAGATTGTATTATGCATTTTTACACTCTCAGTGAATTAAGAACGAAAACATTACATTGAATACTCTATTTGCACAACATCTTTGAGTCGTGACTTCCAACACTCCATCATCATTCTTCCATTCCTGTTGTTGCTTCCTTTCCTTCCTGTTGGTATTCCATTTACTGCTTGCTTTTGCTCCATTTGCTTTCGGTTTTCCTCTTGTGACCGTGCGACTTCTTCTTTCATGTCCCTTCTTATACTACTTATATCGTTCATATAAGTAGCACACACCGCAGTAGTAGTAGTGAACGAACCATTTCCATCACGGGATAATCAAAACCTTCTCTAAAAGCAAATTTATCACAGTTCTATTGATTTTTATTTTAATTATGTTTTAAAGATAAAAAAAATATGACGAAAGTTGTCTGACCAGATCATTGGAACAGGTACTTTGTTCGAGTCCCATACATGGACATCAATACTTACTTACTTATTTACTTACTTTCTCACTTACTTACTTACTTACTTACTTACTTACTTAATTAATTAATTAATTAATTACTTAATTACTCACTTACCTACTTACTTGCTTACTTACTTACTTACTTACTAACTGACGTGCTTATGGACTGACTGACTGACTTACATACTTACTTACGCCTGTTACTCCTAATATGGAGAATAAAAAGACTGTCGACCATTGCACAGACTAAAGCGATAAGTTTTGTTCTAATTGTTGACTGATCCAATCTCTTCAACATAAATATATCTATGAATATTAAATAATAAATTGTCATAAATCTGTAATGCTGTAATGTATTTCGTTTGCTGATTTTGTTTTTTTTTATAGGCACTGTTCCAGCGTATACAGTTGCAATAGGACTTGCTATATGTATCATTCATAGTTTCGTTTCAAAAATGATGTAATCAACTTTGTTTCTTTTTTGAAGACAATATATACATATATATATATATATGTGTTTAATCAAATATATTATAGATTTGGTAAATTGTAGATTGTGTTATTTCTGCTTAACCGACAATAGAGGTGAATCAATGCTTTATTTGTTAACTGTACTACTGATTTGTATCACTTTTTTTTTACAAATGAATTCGTTGTATTTTTGTTAGGAGATTCATCAATTATCCTAAGAGAATTATTCTATGTAAGTCTAATTCCAATTGGTCAATTCTTACTGGTCAATATCAGGGTCGTCTTAACTATCAATGTCACGTACTTCAATATTGTTTCTTATTGGTTGTCCTGACTATCAATGTCACTTCAACGGTTGTTTCCTATTGGTCGTCTTAACTGTCAAGGTCACATACTCCAATGTTGTTTCCTATTCGACCAAAATGTATAAATACGCATTATCTGTAACGTTGTATGACCCAGATCCTTAGTCCGGGATTCTTAGCATCTTCTGGACTCGGACCTCGTACTTTCTGAATGCTTGTAGAACACAGGTTGTACTTCATATCAAGCCTATCGTGCCAGTGTGTCATTGTCTCGCTCCCGTTTTCCGACTAAGGTACACTCGTAATAGTTCAGGCCTATCAAATTGACATGTTTACGTGCATGCGTAACGATTTTCCTTCATGTTTATTTTTGTCTGAGGCAACGATTTAAAATATTTTTCGATAGATTGATTAAACAAGTAAATAGTTTTGAGAGTTATTTAAAGTTTCAGTTGATTTACAAAACGTTAACATGAAAAACTCTCTTCTTAGTTATGTCATCATGAATATGTTTCTCATTCCGGACATGAATGAATCCGTATGATCACCACTTATCAGTAGTATGAAAGTGATTCTAGTTAGCATAAAAGTTAATCAACAATCTGAGGAATTCCGTCTAAAGCCTTTCTAGGATTACGATTGGTTCCAAGCTCGGAAAAAGGCAGAAAGTTGAGCACGGAGTTAGAGAGCGCATCCTGTAAAACATCAACCGAATAACGAAGTCGGTAATCACTACAAATCATCCGAGTAATTTAAACTTTGTCCTGGGAGTTGAAAAGTGTTCATTTAGGAGAGTTATGATGAAAGGCAAGTTTCCTTAGGAAGTAATGAGGTCGATTTACCTTCTGACAACCAGTGAAACCATTATTAATATTAGTGCATGAAATATTCGCACGAGATAGGAGATTGGAAGAGTCGCTCAAGTTAATGCGGACAAGGAAAGATACAACCTAGTGTTGAAGCAGATATGAAAAGAATGAACAGCGATTGGGTAGAAGTGAAAGGTTGAAGAACGTTCGCTAGCGTTCAATGATCCATTAGGGGTGACAGGTGTAAGTAACTGACTGAAATGTTTGAGCGAAATAGAATTGATTCCAGGAACAGCTGTAAATCTATACTACCCTGTAGTCCGATGAATGGACGAATCAATAATCCAATGTTCACTTGTCTTTAATAATTGTATGGTTGAAGTCAATACAACTGCATCATTACCATGAACCCTTTAATGCTTTCATAACCAAAGCATTTTAGTCCGTGATATTGACTGTTTTTTTACTCAACACTGATAAAACCTGAATTCACTTTGTAAGGATAAGTAAAATTGACATATTCGTCGATTCAGCTTAAGCTTTGCGTAGAGAGACATAACGAAAAATCAAAGTGTTATACTCATTAACTGCTATGCTTGAATGCTATTAAGGGTTCACCTTACTCGGTAAACGAGAGAGAAGACAAATGATTCAGTGACACGATATGCTAGTCTAATCCATTGTCCCTTGTCCGGCGAATTATATCACAAAGCCTTAATAAGGCGTGGAAAATTGTATTCTACAAGCACCCAGAAAAGAATGAGGTTGACAAGCATACAAATCTGGCTTATTTATACATAATAGAAACGTCCTTCGGAGAGCCACAAAAATAGCGTACTCAAATCAAAAATTTCTTAATAACAGTTGAGGATTCTCCGAATGGGAAATGTAATCTCAAGGTCAACCGATCAGTCCATGCACCAAAGCATAAGATCCGAAATTCGGACCTTTATCAAGTGAATTCTGGGGATCTAACGTTCTCTACACAATGCAACAGTGAAACAAGAGAAATATGAATACTTATATAAACCGGTGATTAAGCAGTGATCAATATATTGGGCTTGTTTAAATCGTTGAATTATTCGAGTTCTATAAAATATGATACATAATGATGGCCGGTAAACTTAACTTGATTCTATGTGATCACAAACACTAAAAGAGTAATTGACCAAAACGACTGAATTGTCATGTCATTGTTTATAAAATACTAGCACACTCCAAAAGATTATTTTAGTGGGATGGGATCACATTGATCCCTTGAAACTTGAATTATTACCCGAGCAGCACCTGAACTAATGAAGATGTTGATACCAAGCTGCATCGTGACACGATTATGGTGGATCAAGTCAATCTGACGGTGTGTATTGTATCTGTCAACTAACAAGGGTAGCTGTGCCCCCTGCAACATCCAGCCCACCTCACTTCAGCTCAATCCGATAGCCGATCTAAAGTGAATCTGTTAGATTGGTTCACACAGCTAACATTAGCCGATGTCCCACCAAGCATATAAGAAGAAGCCAACCCGCTCAGAAGTACCCAAGACTGGTCATCATCTCCGTTCCAGAAATATCCTCCCCGACAGCAGCAAACAACAGTTCAGATCCAAATAAACCGTCGTGTGTCGCTTCAATTTCTTCAGAGGGAAGTGTTAGGATATTCATCCAATATCCTAAGAGAATTATTGGTCAAATCCTATTGGTCGATTTCTATTGGTCAAAATTATGGTCGTTTAAACTGTCAAAGTCGAATACTTCAATGCTGTCGCTTATGGGTCATCCGGATTGTCAATGTCACTTCATATGTTGCTTCCTATTGGTTGTCTTAACTGTCAATGCCACAGAATTCGATGCTGTTTCCTATTCGACCAAAATGTATAAATACGCATTATCTGTAACGTTTATTGACCACGACCAGGACAAGGGCTCGGTCCAGGACCCCTAGTCAGGGATCCTGATTCTCTTCTGGATTCGGACCTCGTGCTTTCTCAATGCTTGTAGAATAAAGACTCTACTTCATATCATGTCTTCTTATTTTCATTGAATATGGGGGTTGAGATAATCGGATTCGAGTAACATGTCGTGTCACCGGATCCTCGCTCTCGTTTCCGACTAGGTAAACTCGTAATAGTTCACGTATATCAAGTTGACGTGTTTACGTGCAGGCATAACAATAAACTACTAGTATAAAAATCTCACTTTTTCAAATCCTCAATTACAACCCAAATAACTCAATGATAGTGTTCGGATATTGATCAAATATCATAAACAAATTATTTTGTGAGTCTAATTCAATTGGTCAATTCCTATTGGTCAATATTTAAGGTCGTCCTAAACTATCAAGTTCATATAATTTTAAATGTTGTTTCCTATTGGTTGGTATTCATGGTCGACCTAACTATATAAATAAACTTTGTTTGTAAAGTTTTAAGCTCCTCTTCTTCTTCTTCTGTACAAAACTTCATATTTTCTGGGTGCTTGTAGAATACACTTTCTACGCCGTATCAAGACATTTTGATACCGTTAGTGGGTGCTTGGGACGCTCGAATGAGAGTAGCCTATCATGTCACTGGGTCATTTGTCTTCGTTCTCACTTACCGACTAAGGTGAACTCATCAACGTTTCAAGCAAATCAACTAGTGATGAGCATAACAGATAGCGTGTTTGACTGCAACAATAGGTGACGCTTAATCAGAAAACATGTAAAACATAAATTGTATGTCTTGCTAAGTAGTTTTCGAAAACGCGGAACCGCGATGAAGCACGGTTTACTACTAATTACATTAAACTATCGATAATCGAAGAACAGATCATTTTTGCCGTCAAGATCACATATATTTATACGCATATTTAAACGGTGTTTTATACCTCGGTTGATGATGATTTGATCTCAAAGCTTAAGTTTATTACATTTTAACAGAGTATTTTTGGCTAAAAAAGTCAAACAAGGATATAACTCATTGAAATCATGAACTGTTCTATGTTAGATCATCATTAGAAGCCTTGAAGTACGTATGGAACTCATCAGCAGTTCAGATCCACGACCGTGCAAGAGGAAATTGAATCGGCAACCTTAGGTCTTATGTACGTACCCTTAACATGTTGACCACTGAGTCGGTATTCAACAGTTTTAATGATCCAAGACTTGACTCCAGTTGGACGAATGATCGACTGTGCAATGAAATAAATTTTCCTCTCGATTTTCGTATATCATACTTAGACAAAACCCGTTTGTGCATTGTGGTAAGAAGAAGCCAAATATGGTTTTGAGGATGAACTGATTTCCTGCGTTCCTTTAAGCAAACAGACATGAGAATGGAAAGTGTACAAGCAATGGGAAGCAAATCAAAGAAGGCAAATGGGCCAACTCGACTGCGTCGAACCGTTGATTAAGTATTTATATATTCAGGCAGTAATAGGCATTAGCATACAAGCACATACAAACCCGTTCTCAAGACCGAAGGTCCTGGGTTCGAATCTTGCGAGGTGCAGAAGTCTGGGATGCGCACTGCTGATGTGTCACATACCAGGACGAAATGGCCGTTCAGTGCTTCCAAGCTTCTAATGATGGTCTCACAATAGTCGATTCATGATTTAAAATATACAAAAATCGATACTGTTCTCGAATTATTACAAACATAAAAAATGGTCAATACTACTAGTATCAAACAATTTAAACGACTATGCATTAATATGTTGCATTAATCAATTGCACAACGATATCCACAATCCTAATAATGACATGGAGGTAACTTTTTGTTCAATAATTTTTACCGTACTACTTAAATACTAAATAAGTAATCCAAAGTAAAAATCTAAATAATTTCTTAACTTTACAAACTCATGATCAGGAAAATAGCTGCAACTCAGATAATCAACCCTAATTATTAATCTCAAGTTGTTACTATATAATTTGAGTTTATTTTTCAAGAACCAAAGAATAATTAATCGTAACAATTTCATATTAGAA